CTTCATACCAACAGACCTCCCTCATTCCCTCTCTTCATACCAACAGACCTCCCTCATTCCCTCTCTTCATACCAACAGACCTCCCTCATTCCCTCTCTTCATACCAACAGACCTCCCTCATTCCCTCTCTTCATACCAACAGACCTCCCTCATTCCCTCTCTTCATACCAACAGACCTCCCTCATTCCCTCTCTTCATACCAACAGACCTCCCTCATTCCCTCTCTTCATACCAACAGACCTCCCTCATTCCCTCTCTTCATACCAACAGACCTCCCTCATTCCCTCTCTTCATACCAACAGACCTCCCTCATTCCCTCTCTTCATACCAACAGACCTCCCTCATTCCCTCTCTTCATACCAACAGACCTCCCTCATTCCCTCTCTTCATACCAACAGACCTCCCTCATTCCCTCTCTTCATACCAACAGACCTCCCTCATTCCCTCTCTTCATACCAACAGACCTCCCTCATTCCCTCTCTTCATACCAACAGACCTCCCTCATTCCCTCTCTTCATACCAACAGACCTCCCTCATTCCCTCTCTTCATACCAACAGACCTCCCTCATTCCCTCTCTTCATACCAACAGACCTCCCTCATTCCCTCTCTTCATACCAACAGACCTCCCTCATTCCCTCTCTTCATACCAACAGACCTCCCTCATTCCCTCTCTTCATACCAACAGACCTCCCTCATTCCCTCTCTTCATACCAACAGACCTCCCTCATTCCCTCTCTTCATACCAACAGACCTCCCTCATTCCCTCTCTTCATACCAACAGACCTCCCTCATTCCCTCTCTTCATACCAACAGACCTCCCTCATTCCCTCTCTTCATACCAACAGACCTCCCTCATTCCCTCTCTTCATACCAACAGACCTCCCTCATTCCCTCTCTTCATACCAACAGACCTCCCTCATTCCCTCTCTTCATACCAACAGACCTCCCTCATTCCCTCTCTTCATACCAACAGACCTCCCTCATTCCCTCTCTTCATACCAACAGACCTCCCTCATTCCCTCTCTTCATACCAACAGACCTCCCTCATTCCCTCTCTTCATACCAACAGACCTCCCTCATTCCCTCTCTTCATACCAACAGACCTCCCTCATTCCCTCTCTTCATACCAACAGACCTCCCTCATTCCCTCTCTTCATACCAACAGACCTCCCTCATTCCCTCTCTTCATACCAACAGACCTCCCTCATTCCCTCTCTTCATACCAACAGACCTCCCTCATTCCCTCTCTTCATACCAACAGACCTCCCTCATTCCCTCTCTTCATACCAACAGACCTCCCTCATTCCCTCTCTTCATACCAACAGACCTCCCTCATTCCCTCTCTTCATACCAACAGACCTCCCTCATTCCCTCTCTTCATACCAACAGACCTCCCTCATTCCCTCTCTTCATACCAACAGACCTCCCTCATTCCCTCTCTTCATACCAACAGACCTCCCTCATTCCCTCTCTTCATACCAACAGACCTCCCTCATTCCCTCTCTTCATACCAACAGACCTCCCTCATTCCCTCTCTTCATACCAACAGACCTCCCTCATTCCCTCTCTTCATACCAACAGACCTCCCTCATTCCCTCTCTTCATACCAACAGACCTCCCTCATTCCCTCTCTTCATACCAACAGACCTCCCTCATTCCCTCTCTTCATACCAACAGACCTCCCTCATTCCCTCTCTTCATACCAACAGACCTCCCTCATTCCCTCTCTTCATACCAACAGACCTCCCTCATTCCCTCTCTTCATACCAACAGACCTCCCTCATTCCCTCTCTTCATACCAACAGACCTCCCTCATTCCCTCTCTTCATACCAACAGACCTCCCTCATTCCCTCTCTTCATACCAACAGACCTCCCTCATTCCCTCTCTTCATACCAACAGACCTCCCTCATTCCCTCTCTTCATACCAACAGACCTCCCTCATTCCCTCTCTTCATACCAACAGACCTCCCTCATTCCCTCTCTTCATACCAACAGACCTCCCTCATTCCCTCTCTTCATACCAACAGACCTCCCTCATTCCCTCTCTTCATACCAACAGACCTCCCTCATTCCCTCTCTTCATACCAACAGACCTCCCTCATTCCCTCTCTTCATACCAACAGACCTCCCTCATTCCCTCTCTTCATACCAACAGACCTCCCTCATTCCCTCTCTTCATACCAACAGACCTCCCTCATTCCCTCTCTTCATACCAACAGACCTCCCTCATTCCCTCTCTTCATACCAACAGACCTCCCTCACTCCCCCTCTTCATACCAGCAGACCTCCCCTCATCCCCTCTCTTCATACCAACAGACCTCCCTCATCCCCCCTCTTCATACCAACAGACCTGCCTCACTCCCCCTCTTCATACCAACAGACCTCCCTCATTCCCCCTCTTCATACCAACAGACCTCCCTCATCCCCCTCTTCATACTAACAGATCTCCCTCATCCCCCCTCTTCATACCAACAGACCTGCCTCACTCCCCCTCTTCATACCAACAGACCTCCCTCATTCCCCCTCTTCATACCAACAGACCTCCCTCATCCCCCTCTTCATACTAACAGATCTCCCTCATCCCCCCTCTTCATACCAACAGACCTGCCTCACTCCCCCTCTTCATACCAACAGACCTCCCTCATTCCCCCTCTTCATACCAACAGACCTCCCTCATCCCCCTCTTCATACTAACAGATCTCCCTCATCCCCCCTCTTCATACCAACAGACCTGCCTCACTCCCCCTCTTCATACCAACAGACCTCCCTCATTCCCCCTCTTCATACTAACAGACTAGGAGTGACAGGGGCTTCGCTAAGTGTGGCAATGGACTGTCAAAGAAGTGTTAGTGGCGCCTCCAGGAAGTCTGGGTATTTATCCCAAAGCGTTGAAAGCAGGAGCTCAAAGAGATATTGGCACTCCTGTGCTCAACAAAACATTATTCCCAATAGTCAAGATGTGGGAATAACTTAAAGGTTTATCGATGGACAAATGGATAAAGAATATGCAAGATACTACCTCAGGCCTGTTAGGATGGCTGTTGTTATTTTTAAGAAAGGAATAACAAATGTTGGTGAGGATATAGAGAAATGGAAACACTTGCATAGTGTTGGTAGGAATGTAAATTTGTGCCACCACCATGGAAAACAGTATGAAAGGTTCTCAACAGATTAAAACTGGAACTACCATCTGATGCAGCGAATCCACGTTTGGGTAATTATTCCAAAGGGTTGAAAGCAGGATCTCAAAGAGATATTGGTACTCCTGTGTTCAACAAAACATTATTCCCAATAGCCAACATGTGGGAATAACCTAAAAGTTTATCGATAGATGAATGGATAAGGAAATGCAGCCAATACATACAATGGGATATTAGTCAGCCTTGAAAAAGACAGGAATCCTGCAGGATGTGACTTCATGGAGGATGTTCCCCTACGTGGAATGAAGCCTGGAGGACGTTCCTCTAAGTGGAATAAAGCCAGTCACAGAAGGACAGGTACTGCCTGAGTCCACTTATATGAAACTAGTGGCCCAGTGCACAAAATTCGTGCACATTAAAAGGGAATTAATTAGAGGAAATATTTTAATATTGCTATTTGCCCTTACTCTATAATAGAAGTGTCAGAGATGAAAGAAAATTAGTAAAATGTATATGAAAATCTCCCTCCTGTCAGAGTCTGGGGTGCACCACGGGACCCAGAGTCAAGTCTCCATCCACCCATGCGTGCCTCGAAATTGCGCAAGACCCAGACCCAGTCGGCCCCACCCCCATCAAGACCTGCAAGGGCGGGGCGGGGGCACAGCCTCAGGTCCCCCATCAAGCCCCACTGGGCAGGGGGCGCAGCCTCAGGTCCCCTGGCCTGAGGTCCCCTGGCCCGGCCTCAGGTCCCCCCTCAGGAGGGTGCAAGGGCGTGATGAACATTTGCATATTAACTCTTTATTATATAGGATGTCTGAAATAGTCAAACCCATAGAAGTGAGAATAGAATGGTGGTTGCCGGTGGTTCAGAGCAGGGGAAAGTGTTCAGTGTAAAGTTTCAGTTCTGGAAGTTGACAGAATTCTAACAATCGCTGCACATTGAGCCTGTAGGTAATATCACACCGTAAACTCAAACATTTTCTAAGAGGGTGGATCTCACATGGAAGATTCTCACATCAATAAAACATCCATGAAAGGTGATGAGGGCGAGGGGCGCACGTTCCGAAGCGGGGTTCTCCCACTGCTGACTCGGGGAGAGACAAGCAGCTTCCCACCTACGCTCATGCCGGGGGGCCTACAGCTGCGCCCCAGTGGAGTTTATGCAGTTACACAGGGCATGCAAATCAGAAAACTACGTCCGAACGGAGGAGAGAGTGCTGCTTAGAAATACCATGATTCTCCATCTGAATGCTGCACTAAATACAGATCCCGTCTATGGCTTCTTCGAGTCCAAGTCTGAGCGTTAAGAAACGGATTCATTCTCCCTCTCTGCTGTCTCAGGCAGGGAGGGGTGGCTCTGAAACCCTGGGACATGACCTTGACCTTGTAAAGAGGAGGCAACAGCAAGACTGGTCCAAGGTCACACCGGTGACCTAGCCCCTCCCTATTCTGCTGACTTTAACCAAGAAACAGGTAAAGCCACCCTGGCTGTAACTCTACGCTGCCATTCTCCCCTCTCCGGATGGGAACCACTACCTTTCCACATCACCTGCCCTAAACACCCCCCAACCCTCCCTGCGGGCAAAGGGGGTGAGGGGCTGGCTCATGGCCATTCTATGCAAACAAGAGGAGCTGTTTCACCCGGGCTCCTTGGTGGCTGAGGGCTGGGGGCTCCCCACCTACGTCAGCTCAGGCCCCAGGAAACGTACCGTTTAAAGCCTTGAGGTTTTCTCAGGCCAAAGTCTCCCACTGAAGCCAGCCCGGCTACAAGCACTTTATTAAAGCATCTCCGTGTTTCTTCCTTATGACTTCCTAATTCCCGTTTTATGAAGAAATATGACTTTTAAGCATTTCCAGTGGTAAGTAATTACAGGGATGGGCAGCCTGTATTAAGGGATGAATCCACTAGATGCTGCACCGAACACTTTGCGTGGATTCTTTCTTTCAGTGCTATGTTGTCCCATTTTACAGATGAGGAAACTGAGGGTCAGCTGATGTGGTTGCCCAAAGGCGCGGAGCTGGGACTGGAACCTGGGCATCCAGGGCCCGAGCCTGACCCACCCCACCCGCTCCTCCCTCCGGTCCCTCCGACCGTGCGGGACGCTCACCGCGTTGAGGCCGCAGAGCTGGTAGCAGGCCATGGTGACCACCACGGTGATGACCTGCCAGCGGACGAAGGGGGTCCTGAGCAGCTCCAGCGCGGACACCAGGTGGATGTTCCTCTGCATGCGGCCCTCGGCCAGGGCCTCCTCCACCTCTCGGGACACGTCCTCCTTGCCCAGGAACGTCCGGAAGGCTGCGCACAGGGACGGGGAGGGACGGTCAGCCGAGAGCAGGCTGACAGTCCCCCCACCCAGACACGCACCTTGTCAGGGACAGAGCTGGCAGGGGCCTCTGAGACCATGGTGTTTAAAAATAGGAAAACAAAGCCCCCGAGTGTGTGGCGACTTGCCCAGGGTCACCGGGCCGGCCAGGAGAAGAGGGGGCGAGAACCAGGACCTCCTGAGTGCCCGAGTGCAATGCCGAGTGCGCCCTGGGTTCAAGTCCCGTCTCTATGCGGGGGAGACGAGCAGTTTGCAGTCATCCGTGCCTCACGGCGCTGCCGGAGTGACTGCGCTTTATGTAACACACTGACTTCACGCACAGGGAGCGCTCTTCACCGACAGCACAGAACCTCCAGTTTGCCTCTGCGCCCACCTCACTGGACGTGGCAGGATGCCGGGCAGTCAGGTCCATGATCGGCAGGAGGACCTCTGGGCTCCTGCCCCATGCACCCCTGAAATGCAGACACCTGGGGAGACGGTCTCAGAGCTCAGCTTCCCAGGATCCAGAATAACCCATGCGCCCTCGGCCTTTCCCATACCGAACGCGGCAAATTTCCGGCCTCGGTGAACCTGTCATGTTTTCGCCCAGACCTGAACTGCGCAGACTCGCGGGGGGTGCATGAAGGTGGGCTGACTGGTGGGAACCCTGCAGTCATCATAACTGATGGTGGGAGCCACTGGAAGGGCAGATGCAGATGGTGAGCTGTGAGACGCATCCTCCCGCAGGCAAAGGGGCAGCCACGGCTCCGGGGACAGCCCATGGCCTTCACCATGGGCGTCAGCCTCAGCCACACTGCTCCGAGCTGCGGGCAGGGGACATGCTCTTCAGGAGCAGGAAGAAAAGGCCGTTAAACTTGCTCCAGATTCTCCAAGAGGGCGTGGCGTTGCTTCGGGGAAGTGAATTGGAACCTGCCTCAGGAAGTCGCGCCCCTAGCTGTGACCTAGCACTTCCCGCGTTCACTGTGGGTAAGTGCGAGGAGTGGCCGATGAGTGACGTCATTCACTTAATATGATTCACTTAATGTGAACGCATGAGGCTATGAACAAAGCTCCTAGCGTCATTGAATTTCGGGGCCGCCTGTGGTTGCCTTGGCAGGGCCAGACCAGAGGAATTTACGGGCCTTGTATGGCCCTCAGGCCGGACGTCCCCCACCCCTGCCTTCTCACATCCCCTATCCTATGCTGGTATTTCACTTCTATTCAATCCAGTAAACCCCTCCCCCCACAGTGGGCATGTGGGCTCTTTCCCCATTTTTAGGTGCTGGAAGCTTCCCCTCAACTGACAAGAGTGGCTTGAATAAGTCAGACCCGGCTGGGACTGAGGCCCTGGCCATGATGACCTGGGGCGGGCGGCGGGTGGGAAAGCCTGGAAGGGGCCTTGGACACAGACGGACGGATGGTACTGATGGCCCCAGCCTCCTACATCTATGTCCTTCCCTCTGTAACTGTGTAGCCCCGCCCACTCTGACTTGACCATGTGACTTATTTTGGCCATAGGATTTGAGCTGATTTGCAGCTTGAGAAACTGCTGGTTTTACACTTCCTCTCTGGGACCTCAGGGCTCACCAGGGAAGGTGCCCAGTAGCCTGCTGGGGGGTGAGGCACATGGAACAGAGATGACGCTGCCCTAGGTCGGCCAGCTGGCCACCAGGCATGTGAGAGAGCTGCCCAGAGACAAGGAGAATTCTAAGGGCAGGCCCTACGCAGATGAACAGGACGTCACAGCTGGCCCAACGCGTGCTAATGTCTTAAGCCAGGGAGTTTAGATGGTGTGCTACGCGGCACTATTACGGCAATAGCTAACCGCTACAGGACCCCTTCCTCCCCAATTACCCACAGACCGGACGGGCACCAAACACGGAGCGAGGTCGTGAAACGTGTTTTGTTTATGTTCAGAGCTTCCAGAGCAACGCTGTCAGGGTTCAGATCCCAGCGCCGCTACGTGCTCGCCCTGATGCGGGGCCAGGCGGCCCCATCCTCAGTGCTCTGACTTTCAGTGGGAATAATGACGTGGCCTGTTTCCCAGAGCTGCTGCGAGGGCTGCTCCGTCTGATATAGGTGCTTAGCGGAGCTTAGCGTGGAGAGCTCTCAACGCAGATGGGCCGCTCAGGGTGTGCCTGTCTCCCCGGAGGGCTGGACGGCCATGGCCCGCCCCGTCTTCCCCCCTACCCCCCGGCAGGATGCCCGGCACAGTCAATACCCATGGTTTTCTGGGTGCCTGCGGTGAAATGAGCCCTGTTATTAGCACAGATGCACATTTTAATACTCCCTTTCAACCTAAGCCCAACAGCTTTGTTCTTTTTATAGCGTGCACGTCTAATATTAACCACTTTTTAATAATTAGCCTTCTTGCTCCTCCCTACTGTGCTATGAAATAAGTCTTTCAAGCCTTCTCCACTGTCTGGCATTTACTTGCATGCACTGCCCATTCCGACTGCTCTTAATGGAAGCGTTTCTAAGAGTCCTTTCCCGGTAGAGCCAGAGGGTCAAGGGGCACCCTCCCCCACCAGAAGGAAGCGCCCTCTTCCAACAGTTAGCCCCTGCTGCTCCGGGGACTCCTCCCCTCGTCCCTCTCAGCCACATCCTTTCCCCTGCAGACCCTCCACCTTCTGACCAGCAGCCGCCTTCCCTGAAGCCTGCTTTCCCCACGTCCCCCACAGGAAGTTCCCTGGCGCTGCCCACTGAGACTCCTCCGGGCATGAGGGTGTGGGAGGAAAGGGACCTTCAGGTTCCAGTCCTTGTGTCAGTTGCTGGGTCCCCTGTGGGCTTCTGGGAGAAAGGGCCTCAAGCCCCACCCCCACCACCTAGCGCCACACGTTTGTGTAGAGAGGCCCCCTGCTGGAGGAACACCTGTTGTTTCCATCATATGTTCAAAGGCCTCTGGACACTCAAACCATAGACCACACCCGTGGGCAGGAAATGTCACCCCTGGAGCTTCCATGTCTAGAAACATGAAAGTAACAGTAACGTTCTCTGATTTCACGCTATAGAAACGTTGTAAACGGGAAAATACATCTGAGCCACAAACTGCGAGACAAATATAGGCACTTGTTAATATTTCATCATGCCATTTGTTAGTTCAGAAAAAACGTTTGAATTTTAAAAAATGTTACACTAATTATATGAAACAAGACTGTATGTCTCAACTTTTTTCTTGGGTGTGAACATTAGTCAAATTTAGGTTAGAGGACAGGATCTGGTTTAAAAGGTGGACAGAGTTCTCAGTAGTAATAACAGCAAATGATACCACAAACCATAGGGAGACAGATAAATAGATGATGATAGATAGATAGATAGATAAATGCATAGATAGATGGATGGATGAATGGCTAGATGGCTAGATTGAACATATATAGATGCATAGATAGATAGATGGATAGATGGGTGGATGAATGGATAGATGGATGATGTATAGATGCATAGATAGATGGATAAATAGATGGGTGGATGGATGGAGAGATGGATAGATGGATGGATGGATGTATAGATGATGTATAGATGCATAGATATATGGATAGATAGATGGGTGGATGAGGGAGGGATGGATGGATGTATAGATGGATGATGTATAGATGCATAGATAGATGGATAGATAGATGGGTGGGTGGATGGATGGATAGATAGATGGATAGATGGATGGATGTATAGATGGATAATGTATACATGCATAGATAGATGGATAGATGGATGGATGGAGAGATGGCTCCAAACAGGTATGGCCAGGGTAGATGAGTGGATGGATGGATGGAGAGATGGATAGATGGATGGATGTATAGATGGATGATATATAAATGCATAGACAGATAGATGGATAGATAGATGGGTGGATGGATGGAGAGATGGGTAGATGGGTGGGTGGTTGGATGGATGGATAGATAGGTGAGTGTTTTGAGGCTCAGGAAGGTTAAAATAATTGCTCAAGGTCAGACGGCAGAGCCAGGAATGGCAGGCGGTACTGGTTATTCCTGCCCCTCATGCTGACCTATGACACTGTCAGTTTGTCTCGTTTTATAAAACTGAACAAACGCATGCTGGTGCTCATGCCGCGAGGTCTCTCTCTAGGCAGAATGGTGCTGCCTTTGGGAGGCGCTGCAGAAATGCCCGATTCTGAAGGCTGAGCTTGCCTTGGACGCAGCACGTCACCACGCAGGGGCTTCGGAGAGCCGCCTGAGATGGCTCCACGCCCTCGGCGGCGCCTTGTGCTTCTCTCCTGCAAGGGGATCCCGCCCCCCTCATGGGGGCTCCAGCCCGGGCTGCTGTGATGCTGGCGCTCACTCTGTGCCTGTCATCCCTTCCCTTGCGAGTGAATGTCAACATGGAGAAGTGGGCAGCGAAGAAGAAAAGGAACAGAGGGCAGCCAGCATAAACAGAACCACTAAGAAGTCTGTGTTCTGGCATCTCTGCAGTTGAGACACCCCAGGGAGACACCGTGGCACAGAAATGAGCAGACCTGGGTCCTGTCCTGCTCTGTCCTGGCTTTTCCAGGCTCCCCATGTGGCCGCGTCCCCTCCCTGGGCCACCAGAGCAGGCTGCGGGGAAGATGAAATGGCTTAGGGTGTCCCAAGGGCCCCAGCACCATGCCTGCAGAGAGGTGTGGCCCAGGTCCCTGCCTGACCTGCGCACTGACCCTGTAGCCGCCGGAGCCGCGTGGGAAAGGCCGAGCCCTACCTTTCTCGGCCGCCGCCTGGTCGTGCTTCTCACACAGCAGGTAGCGCGGGCTCTCTGGGAGGAACGGCAGGCTCACCAGCTGGACCAAGGCGGGGATGGCGATGGCTCCAAACAGGTACGGCCAGGTGCTCTCCTGGGGGGAGAAGAGGGGCCAGTGGGTGGGCCTGGCGGAGGGAGGGACCTACAGCTTTCGACTCCACAGACTCCACGTCAGCCAGCCAGGTGCCCTGGGGAGGGGGGGTGGGTGGCGTGACCCCTCAAAGGCACTGGCGTAGGGAGGTGGTCTCAGCTGTGACTGCGCTGACAGGTGCAGGGAGGGGCTGCTCTCTTGTTAGTGCCCCCTGGTGCTCTTCCTGAGCCACTGCAGTTTCCCCATGGGCCGAGCTCTCTCCCCATCTTATTTGTACATTTTTTGCACTGGCTCTTTGCTCTGCCTGGGATGGTGTCTCCCTCAAGGTCTGCACCAGCTTCTCCAGAAGGGCTCCCCGGCCCTCCTGCTGCCTCAGGGCT